GTATTGCAGCATCAAAACGGCGACCCACCGAGTTGCGGGATTACCTAGGTCTCCAGGACGCTGCAGATGAAGAAAACGTGGCGGTGGACGAGCAAGTGCTACCAGACATCAGGCATGCATCAGACGATGATAACCATACCTCCAATCATCGACTAAGCAGCAGCAACTCGTCCAGCAGCGACATGGACGACGACTGTGGTCCTTGACACCTGTAGAAAAGTAAACTGACTGCTTACTGCTTATAGAATTTTATACCACTTTGCGTTGCATAATACTTTGAGTACAAAGTTTCGGAAGTTCCAAATTTTGTAATGAGATGCCACCTCACATACATCCCGTGAAATGTAATTGATTTACATGTTAGTAAACGACCCCTGGAAGCTGCCCACGACAGTTAGTATTGTATTAATAGTTATTTTTATATGACCTGCACCGTACTAACTGTAGACAACATGCAAAATATATGGTTGTGGTCAAAATATACCTGCTACATTTAGGTTCCACTAAAATGTCCAATTTGTACACGTGAAGTGGGTGGTCCTCCGTCTGGTACTTGCCTCCACTGGTCAGGCTTCTTTGTGCTTTGAATACACGCGATTGTTATCCCGGTGTACGTACATGTCGTCCGGTCACACGAACATGTCATCCAAACCCACGCGCAAGTCATTATTTCCGCGAGTCAATTTTGTCGACACTTGTATAATATCCAGAAAACTCGTGGAAGTTTGCTTTTCCCTCCCTGCGTGATCTGTCGTTATACTCTCGCTGCAGAAGTTCACAGTCAGTGAATCCACTGACATGTATTCGTCTATTTTGACTGAAAAATATCAAAATTATGTAGTTGGTGTACTATAATTAGGCATATTTTGGGCATGAGAAATGGTTGTGATCTTCTCCAATCATACTGCACAACAAGTCCGGATAGTATTTCTCAGGCTTTCCGGATGATGCTCGATTTCAAAATTCAAACGTTTCGGCTGGCGCGAGGATGGAGAAGAATGTCCAGGTCGCGGTCCGCGTGCGGCCGATGAATGAACGAGAGAAAGCGCTGCAGCGCCCGAGCGTGGTAACAGCTCAACCAAAGGCACACCAGATCACGGTCCGCAAGAAGACGTACACGTTTGATCGTGTGTTTGGACAGTATGCAACGCAGAAGGAGGTATTCAAGGGCGCTGTTCAGAACGCTGCTGACGAAGCGCTGTCGGGATTCAACTGCACCGTGTTTGCATATGGCCAGACCGGCACAGGAAAAACACATACGATCCAAGGTTCCTTGAGTCCAAACCATGAAAACGCGGGTATAATCCCGCGCAGCGTCAACTACATTTTCGAGAAACTGCAAGCGACGAAGCGAGAATATTCGGTACGTCACGCAGCACGTTCCTATTGTACACAACCAAAGCCAATGGTCTCAATCTAGGTCCGCGTATCCTTCCTTCAGTTGTACAATGAGGAATGCAAGGACTTGCTGAGCGAAACCAAAAAGGACAAGCCTTTGCGCCTTATGGAAGATATCAAGCGGGGTGGGGTATACTGCCAAAACCTTGAGGAAATCACGACTTTGACCGCATCCCACGTTTACGAGCTGCTCGAGACGGGGGCAAAGAATCGCATGACGGCAGAAACGTTGTTGAACGACCAAAGTAGTCGCTCGCATTGCATTTTCACCATTCGTATTCACAGCAAGGAAGCCAACGTCGCTGGCGAGGATATTCTTCGCAGTGGTGCGTGAGTTCTATCGCCAAGACGAAAGAGTCTGACCTCAAGTCCCATAAGGAACGCTGAACTTGGTGGATCTGGCGGGTTCCGAATGCATTGGCCGGTCCGGTGCCCGAAATGCGCGCGCCAGGGAAGCGGGCAACATCAACCAGAGCTTATTGACGCTCGGGCGTGTAATCACAGCGCTCGTGGACAAGCATCCCCACGTGCCATATCGTGATTCCAAGTTGACGAGGCTGTTGCAAGAGTCGCTGGGAGGCAAGGCCATGACGACGATCATCGCTACCGTTGGACCAGGTGCGGGCCTCGTCCATGGTTGTGGTGACGCCTAAATCTGAGCAGGGGGTGACTGCGTCGACGAAACACTGAGCACGCTGGACTATGCACATCGTGCCAAGAGCATCAAGAACAAGCCAGAAGCTAACCAACGTATGACAAAGCACGTCCTGATTAAGGAGTACAGCCAAGAGATTGACGCGTTGCGGGCCCAACTCATTGCCGCGCGCAACAAGGACGGCATCTACTTGCCGACGTCGCAGTTTACTGAAATGCAGGAGCGGATCACGGGTCTGGCAACGCAACTAGGCGAGTTGGAGGACGAGCTCGAACGAAAGAGCCAGCAGATCTTGGAACTAGAAGATGCATTGGAAAGCGTCAAGCAAGAATGCCAAGATGTGGCTGGAAAATTGCAACAAACCGAGGTAGACTGACGGATGGGGACAATTGCATATGGTTGACGGGGAGTGTGCAGACTCGCCTCATTCTAGCCAACGATAAAATGGAGGTCAAGGAGGCAGCGTTGAAAGCGACAGAGCGACAACTCTGCGTAACGGAGGACATGTTGCACGAAAGTCGCGCGAACGAAACACACTTGCTCAACCAAGCCCACGTCGCATCGAAAGTGTACTCGGACCGTGTTGAGGACATTCGACAGCTGCACAGGAAACTCGGTATGTAGCATATGCACTCCATCTAGGTAGTATCTATCCTTGTGAAGACGTCTGGGCCTGCCAACTTAACGTGTTGGTTTGGCAGAGCGCAAGCAAACTGTTCTTTCGCTCAACACCGCCATGACAAGTGGATTCGCCGACACGGCGGTCGCCCACTGCGCTGACTTTGAAGCGTCCATGAACACGTATCGCGAACAACATCAAATGCACCTCATCGACATCCAGTCGACTCTGGACGCTGCAACCGCCACATTTGCGTCGGTGGGTTGAGCAATTCTTGCAGGCATAACATGGTGACTTGTCATGTAGGACATGGCGAAAGTTCAGACTTCAGTGCACGCCATTCAAACGACCATTCAAGACGCCGTTGAACACCTCATACAAGGCTTGGACACCCATCGTATGGCCCTAGGCGACCAGAACAATGCGACAAATGACGCGATATGGTCGGAATATTCTGCGTGGGTGGGTCACGTGAACCAGCTCAAACCGTTGGTGGAAAAGCAAACTCGGAATGTTGAGCAAGTGATGCATAGTCTCGATCTAGCGGTGCGTTGTTTGTGCCGATATCATCGTTTCACGATTTGCATGCCAGACGAAACAAATGATGGCGGATGCGTCGGTCCAATTGGCCCACATGTCCACGAGCATCGAAGAAGCAACGGCGGCCCAAGTTGGACAAGTGGAGGCCATCAAGGAATCTGTTGCCCGCGCTGTGCATGAACATTCGGTTGTCGCCACGACCGAAAAGGACCAGGTCGTCGCTGCCTTGCAGATGACCCAA